GGACGGGCATTGGACATATTTGCTCGAGAAAGAAGATCAAGAACATATTTTTGTTGGGACAGAATAAGGCCAGAAGAAGAAGGGAGTACTTCGACACCCAAAAAATAATGTAGTTTGCCAAGATCCTTGATTGGAAAGAAATGATTTAGAGCAGTAATGAGATCAGCAATAGCAGAGGCAGAGGAACCAGTAACTAGAATGTCATCAACATAAACCAAAACATAGAGAGTGACCTGAGAATTATGACAAATAAATAGGGAGGAGTCGGACCTGGAAGCAGAAAATCCAAGTTCAAGGAGGTGGGAGCTTAATCGTGCAAACCAGGCCCGTGGGGCTTGTTTGAGACCATAGAGTGCACGGCGGAGCTTGCAGACAGAGGTGGGATGATGGGGGTGGACAAAACCGGGAGGTTGCTGCATGTATACTTCGTCATCAAGAAAGCCATGAAGGAAGGCGTTGCTAACATCTAATTGGTTGATTGCCCAGCCTTTGGAGACAGCCAGAGAAAGAATCAGACGGACAGTAACTGGCTTGACAACAATGGAAAAAGTGGCAGAGAAATCAATCCCAGGCTGTTGGTGAAACCCTTTGGCAACAAGTCGGGCTTTCAATTTGTCAAGAGAGCCGTCGGCGTGAAATTTTTGCCGGAATACCCACTTACAGCCGACGACATTCATAGAGGGAGAGTAAGGAACTAGATCCCAAGTGTTGTTAGCGAGGAGAGCAGAGAACTCATCATGGAGAGCACGACGCCAGGCTGGATCCTTAAGGGCTTGAGTAACGGAGCTGGGTACGGTTGACGGTGGTCCCGAGGTGCAATGGGCTCGAGGAGAAACAGAGTAGACAAAGTCAGGGGCAAGAGCTTTCGGCCGGAAGACATTAGCTTTGGACCGAGTAATCATAGGGTGAGTCGGAGCAGGGGATGGGGACGAGGGGTGAGAGAGTGGTGAGGAGTGAGAAGAGGGAGAGGACGATGATGGTGACGGTTGAGAGGGAGAAGACGATGGTGGAGATGAGAGAGGGGAGGGGGGCGGTTGAAAAGTGCCAGGAGGAGAGAGAGGAAGTGGGCTGGGGTGAAGCAATGTTGGGCCTGAAGGAGAGGGCCGTGGGGTGAGAAGAGGTAAATGGGTTTGGGAAGTAGAAGTGGGCTTGATGGGAGGGAGTTGGTCAGCAAAGGGGAAAAGATTCTCATCAAAGACAACATCCCTAGAAGTGTAGATTCTTCCAGTGGGCCGATGGAGACACAAGTAGCCCAAATGATTAGGTGCATATCCAAGAAAAACACATAAAAGAGAACGTGGAGCCAATTTGTGAGCAGCATAGGGCCGTAAGTTGGGCCAACAGGCACTTCCAAAAACCTTTAAAAAGGTGTAATCAGGTTTGAAATTATAAAGTAATTCAAAGGGACATTTTTCGTGCAGAACTGGGCTTGGCAATCGGTTAAGGAGATAGGTGGCAGTAACAAAGGCATAGGACCAGTAAGGCTCTGGAATGGACGCATGATGCATAAGGGCCAAGCCGGTTTCAACGATTGTTCGATGGCGTCGTTCTACAACACCATTCTGTGTGTGAGTATGTAGACAAGTAATCCGATGAGTGATACCTAAAGAGACCAAATCTTTGTGCAAGGCGCGAAATTCGCCACCCCAATCAGATTGAAAAGAACATATATTAGAGTTAAAAGTGGTGGCAACAAGAGAACGAAATTGATGAAAAACATTACGAACTTCACTCTTTGTATGAAGGGGAAAAATCCAAATGTACCGAGTAAAATCATCAACAAAGGAAACATAATAACGAAAGCCAGTTACAGACACATGAGGGGAAGGCCCCCAAACATCACAAAACACTAACTGAAAGGGAGAAGTGGAACGATGAACAGATGTTGGCGATGGCAGACGATGGCTTTTGGAAGTTCTACAAGCATGACACTGATGAATGGAATGTTTAGTTGTGACGGGAAGAGAGTTGTGACGAAGAACTTGCTGAACAACTCGGAATGCAGGGTGACCGAGACGTTGGTGCCAGTGGAGGAATGAGGAGCGAACAGCAGAAAGAGCTTGAGGAGTGGAGACTGGGTACATTCTATTGAGACTTGGACCCTGAAACAGAGGCTTCTTTGTGTCCTCGTCCTTCACACAAAAAAAGCCAGAATGAAATTCAAAGAAAACATTATTATCACTGCAAAACTGATAAACAGATAAGAGATTTTTTGTAGTGGAGGGAATGTGTAAAAGATTGGAGAGAAGATAATTGCCAGAAGGAGTTGGAAGAATGCCGGAACCCTGATGTGCTATAGGCATGGATGAGCCATTGCTTACACGAACAGAGTCATTGCCAGTGTATGGTTCAGATGAGAAATTCAGCCTGGAGAAGTCATTGGTCATGTGGTGAGTGGCTCCTGTGTCAGGATACCACAAGGAGTTATCCATGGAAGAATGTTCAGAATAGTAGGCGGATATAGAAGGAGGAGGAGGTGCTTGGAGTGCATGATTTGGTCGTTGCAGACATGTACGAGCTGTATGGCCAAAACTATCACAAAGTTGACAAGCAACTTCAGAGTTAGGAGCAAAAGAAGTGAAGCGACCACTATTTCCCTGATAAATACGGCCACCAGTTCTACCACGATAAGACCCTCGAAAACCTCGACCGTAGCTACGTCCATAGTTATTATAACCTCTACCTTGGAAGCGACCTCCTCGTCCTCTGTTAGAGAATGGAGTTGTAAAACCCCGAGCTACATGAGCAGGATTTGCGGTGATATCAGTGGGAAGTAGAATAGAGTTATTTTGAGACATTCTTTCTTCAAAGGTAAGGAGATGACTCAAAATGGCTTCAGTAGACAGGAAGTGACGTTGAGTTGTGATGACAGTGACAACAGTGTCATATTCCGGTCCCAAACCAGATAAAAGATAAGTGACAAAATCTTCATCAGGAACAGGTTTTCCGGTGGTAGCAAGAGAATCTGCAAGGATGGTAGCTCGACGATGATATTCAAAGATAGACTCACCACCTTTCTTCAGGTGAGTGATTTGTTGATGTAGAAAAACTAATCGAGCTTGAGTTTGTTGAGCAAAGGAGGTCTCAAGAGCTATCCATAATGCCCGAGAAGTGCGGTGTCGAATGAACTGGGGAATGATTTTCTCTGAAAGGGAGGCAATAAGGATAGAGAGAACGAGTTGGTCCTGTTGAAACCATGAGAGATAACTACGGTTGGGAAGGCCGGAAGGAAGTTTTGGGGAAGGTTGGGGAATGGAACCGTCGATATAGCCGAAGAGTTGTTGGCTGTAGAGGTAGGGTGTAACTTGAGCTTTCCATACAAGATAGTTTTCTTGTGTGAGTTTAGTTGTGACATAGTGAGGTAGGGTGGAGGGCGGCGCGGTTGGAGCGGTGTAGGTAACAGAGGGAGATGGCGAGGATTGCGGTGGTGTGTTGGGTGGCTGATTTGGAATCGTGGTGGAAGACATATTTGGAGAGGCAGACATGGCAACAAGACCACTACCACTCTGATACCATTTTGAGACAAAAGGCAAAAGGTACCAAGGCAAAACAGAAAAGTAAAATCATTGCACTCTGAAATGTATAATTCACTGTTGTGTAGTAAATGTGTACAGTGACAGCCTATTTATAGAGTTTGTATCCTATTATAAACAGACACGTATACATGAGAAGAGGAATCTAGAATGTCAATTTAAACATGTCTGATATGAGCAATATGGGCTACTTGGGCTTGATGTCTTTATGGGCTTCAATACAATCTAACCAGGAAAGTTTCGGTATTCATTAGAGTGATGAGCAGTCCAAGCTCATCATATTTAAGACCATTCTTTAGATGGTCTACATTTAATTTCCTTTTTACTTTTATTTTTAAATAAAAAATTATTTTCCAAAAAATGATGGTTAGGATATTACCTTTATTTTAGATTCTATACTCATTAAAATAATTATTTTGAAAAAATAAAAATGAATTAAAGGTTGAGATACACTGAGCTTGATTGATTATCACTTTAATGAGCACTTAAACTAGTTACAACCAAAATAATGGTTTTTTAAATGTTTTTTAGGCGTAATTTTCAATTCACAAAGGGAGCAAGGGGTTTTTCTTTTTCCCTAGGCCTGAACCTGAAAGATTACTAACGGGTTGAGTTTCGGTGTTCGTTGTGAGCTCTGGGTCTAAGCTATTTTGATTGGAATTTGATTGTTTAGATTTAATTTATTGTAATTTTTTTTTATGTTTTTAATATTAGAATGTGCCCCCCTCCATTTTGAGCTTGAGTATTGAGTTAACAGTTTTCTCCTTTTTTAAATTCAATATTTCCTTATGAAGCAGCTCTCAAAATTAATCTTTAATAAATTATAATAATTTTCTTACTTCAATATAAACAAAATTTAAAATAAAAACAATCTTCTAATTACTATCTCTTATCCTTAATATAATACCATTTAACTAGTTTGAAGAAATTAAGAAATTTGCTAAATTACTTTAAACTGTTTATCTTTGTCATTTTTATCTCAACTAATCTATCTTATTTATAAATTGATATATAATCAAATGATTTGTATAAGTATTTTAGAAAGATAATGTAATATATGCTATACTTAAATAATTTAGTAACTTCTTTAACTTTTCAAATTAGTTAACGAGGTCTTATATTAAAGATTGGAGGTAGAATCCTCTAGAAAAAGGAACATATATAATATAACAACTATAATTATAAAATTTTAAATTTGAATTTTCTAAAGAACAGTTTAAATCTTATCGCTCAAGATAAAAAGGAAAATCTAATCACATTTATGAGGGCTGAAGTCTGAAATTGGGCGTTACCTTTTGGGCCCATATCTCGATCCAAATTGTGCATGAAGTCCAAATTCTCGACCCAATCCAATGCAAGCTCGACCAAAGGAAAATTATGTTGTATCTCGGGGCTTTGTGTTTGACCCATTCACAGTCTTTGGGTTGAGCCGTTGAGCCTGTGGGAAGATATGACCGGAGACAATCCCGTTGCCGGACGGGACGACCCGGATGATGCAAGCCCATCGGTTTAAGTTTAACCCCTGCATCCATATTCTCTCTTTTTTCTCTTTAATTCTCTATTCCGATGTCGGCCTTGTCTACCCGCGTCTTTGTCTATTGAATGGTATTGTGAGTGTCTCCCCTTTGAATCCATTACATATTGATTAGTTTCAAAACTATATTTTGTAGTTGTTGATCTAACTATGAGATCCTATTTTGCCCTGGGTTTATATGCCTCGATATATGAGGTAAAATTCTGCATTTCTACTATGCTCGAATGGTGCTTGGTGATATGCCTTCTTTTCTAAGTTTTTGTATTTTATGTGATTATACTTTTAGGACTTAATATTCAATCAGTTCCCTAGTGGTCGTGCATCGTGCTCTGTCCTATCAGTTTTCTGCGGAAATGGCCTTGATCTTGTCATCATTAAAGGAAATAGCACCTGATGGTGATTTAAGCTTCCTTCGAGCTTAACAATATACCCCATCTTTCTTAGACTTCGATAATTCCCCTAATGATGCATTCTTTTCTTCTCACTGCAAATTGTAATAGCTGAAGGAACGTGTAAAAGACTAAAAATTTATATCTTTTGTGATTGTGACCTGTCTCTTTTGCCTACTCCGTGGTCTGTTTTATGGGAGTATTTCCCCTTTGAATCTATTATATGTTGATCAATTGTAGTTGTTGATCTAACTATGAGATACTGTTTTGGTTAAAAAAAAAAAAAAACAGGGATGCTATTAAGACATGGGGTTGATGGTTCTGTGAGATGGAAATCTGCACTCGTGCATGCTCGAAAGGTGTTTGATGATATGTTTTCTTCATAATTTGTTGTACTTTATGTGATTGCAATGTTACGACTCACTATTCAATTGGTTTACAAATGGTAGTGGCCCGTGCTGCGTCCTACCAGTTTCGTGTTTTTATGGTAGAATAGTCTTGATCTTTTCAACATTCATGGAAATAGCGCCTGATGGCCATTTAAGCTTCCTTCGAGGATAGGAACATACTCCACCTTCCTTAAACTTCGAGAAATGCCCCAGTTTTACCTTCTTTGAATTGTGGTCGCCGAAAGGTCGTTAAAAATTTAGATTTTGTGAATGTATATCTCAAAATGAGCAGGACCAATACAAGGAAATAAAGGCAAGAGCACTCGTAGATTATCTGGCATTTACATCGCCGAGAAATTCTCTATTTATTTACAATGGACATTTGGCATCTCATACTTCAAAAGCATAATCAAACTCGTACTATCTTGGAAAATGATTACTCTTTGACGTTTCATGATTTGAGGAAGTCATAGAATTGTAGTTAGATTGACCTGCACTGGATTCCCATGATACCAAATTCAGCTTCAAATCAATATCCATGTGAAATGCTGGTTCTCGAGGCAATGGCAATTCAGCTAACAGGCTACTTAGATATGAAACAATCCTTGCCATTGTGGGCCTATTTTCTGGGTTCTCTTGAACGCATAATAAACCTATTTGGATGCACTTGATCACTTCACTCTGAGAACATGAATCTTTTATTTCTGGGTCCACTATCTCAAGCGGTGTTTGATTCCTCCAATGTTTCCAAGCCTGAAATAATATATCAATAATTACATTTATGATTGATCCATTGGTTTCTGCTGTTCTGTTTTTGGCTTTGTTTGCTACACAACTCAGGATGGTGATATGCACATCATTAGCAAAGTGTGAAACAAATTATTGGATTTTGTACTTACCTGACTTAAGAGGTCATCAAGGTCTTGTGTTTCAATAGGACGAGCATTCCTCTTTGCACTAACTATCTCAAGAACGATGACGCCAAAACTAAATACATCAGACTTTTCAGAAAATTGACCGTGCATTGCATATTCTGGAGACATATAACCACTGTAAAAACAATAATACTGATTAGAACTGCATAAGATTAAGCAAACTATTGAGCATATCAGGAACAATAAAAAGGATCTTCTTATATGTGTAACATATTCAAGAGCTAATTCACATAAACTTCTCCGCTAGTGGCGCTCGACAAGCATAGGACTTTAATAGGAGAACATGAAAGTTGAAGTTTAAAAGGAGCTTAACAATACTTTGTCCCACAAAAAATGTTTATCTGTAAAATTAAGTGCAATGAAGGGAGTGGAAGTGATAAGATAAAACAAAAAAGAATAAAAATACTTACTATGTACCAACAATTCTATTAGTATTTATTTGATCTTGATCTATAGCAATGATTCTTGCCATGCCAAAGTCTGAAATTTTTGGATTCATGTTGTCATCTAATAATACATTGCTTGGTTTAAGATCACGGTGTATAACTTTGAGTCGAGAATGCTCATGTAAATAATGAATTCCTCGTGCAATGCCTCCAATAATCTTATAACGTTCAAACCAATTCAGCAACCTCTCCTTTTTGGGATCTACGAAATCATCATGAGTCATTGAAGTTAGTACACAGGTGAACTCTGTTTTTATGTCAGGTGCAACCATAATCTTATGTGAAACATTGCATTTTAACTTGTCAATGGTAAACTTGAAAATATAGTTGGGATAGGGATAGAAGAACTTCACCAAATAGAAAGTGATCAAGACTTTTATTGGGTACGTATTCATAAATGAGCATTTTCTCTCGTCCTTCTAGGCAAAATCCCAATAAAGCCACCAAATTCCTGTGTTGTAACTTAGCAATTAGCAAGATTTCAGTTTTAAACTCCGTTGCACCTTGTCCAGAACTTCTTGAAAGCTTTTTGACAGCTATTTCTCTCCCATCGGGAAGAGTTCCCTAAAATCATACCATTTGTTAGGAAAATTGGATGAAAAGTCTATGTATATGTATGTATTTATAATAATCACATTTAGTCACCTTGTAAACTTCTCCAAAACCACCTCTGCCAATTTTTTTCTCATGTGAAAACCTATTTGTGGCAGCTTCAATCGTGGTCAAACTGAATTGCAGGGATTCCAAAGTAGCCAGTTCTTCCCCAACTGCACAGTTGAATTTTAAAGGTAAGCATATGAGAACTTGAGAATGGATAGTTTTATAAATATTCTCCACACTACGTACAATTTTCCCTTAAAATGTTTCTCTGCCTGTGCCTTGCTCTTCTCCGCAGCAAAAAGCTGACAAAACCCAACAGAATTACTGAAGCCACAACAAGGACAACAATCAAGGCAACTGCTCGTGATGAAAGTTTCTTCTTTCCTGCATTTTTTTTTTTTTAAAAAGAAATCCATAGAAAGAATATTCATTCTCTGACGGTTCAAAAGCAAATAATAAACACGAAATTAACAATATTACATGTGTACTGTAAGTTATCAAAAAGGTCTAGTGATTGTCTAGGAAGCTTGTAAATCCACAAAAGCTGTTCTTTTATATTTCTTGAGAAAATAGTAGTTTTTTTTTTTTTTTTTGCAATTCAAAATCTCAAGCACTAATAGCTTGAGATTATGAGAAGAACAAATCCGCAACCTCGCACTTAAAGGCAATTTTTATGCCATTAGGCCACAACGCATTGGCAAATAGTATTGTTTTCCAATACTTCGAGACTCTGATATGATCTCAATCTCATCTCATCTGATTAATCAAAAACTAGGTAGGATCTGGAACACTCGAAGAATCTTCTTGTCAGGTTTACATTAACATATTAGAACAGTTCTTATTGAAAATGTACAAGAAATTGATGAATCCCAGGTGGAAAATCCATATATAAAAACTAGCTCAGTGGACTTTCCAAACAAAAATATAAATAAACAAGTTTTGAAATTTTATTCATTGAGATGTATTTATATTACCTGAAGAAGTCAATGATGAATCAGATGAACTGTAAAATGGATACGGTTCATATCGGACAACACAAGAAGCAAGCAAAGCTCTTGCCCCTCGAGCTCTGTTACAACATATCGGAAAACTTCCGATGGCATTTTTCAAGCAAGTCTCACACTGCGCCGACTGTATGTCAACGGTGCACTGCGCAAGCCCATACACAGTCTGGTTGCTGCCAAACTTTGCTTCCCCGGTGGCGAACTTCTCCGCCGTCTGGGAATTCGCTGCTGCTTCTGCTATGTTATTCAACGAGCTGAACAACGTTTGATTGAACGCATTCAGATTGTTGCCAGATATGTTCCTCCCGTCAACCAGGTTCGTCCCAGGTTCGGTGCTGCCAAACTTGAAGTACCTATATATATATATATATATATATATATGTTTTGAGTTATGATTATTTCATTTGAAATCTAACCATTTCTTATATATACAGCTCCCACCAGGTGGCGTTTGGGAGAGATAGATGTATGCAGTCTTATAAACGGAGAAGCTGTTTTCAGATTTGAACTTTATGACCTTCAAGTCACATTGCAGCAACTTTAACGTTCTTTCAGGACTCACCCTCTACCTTATGAAAAGAAAAATATGATAAAGTACTTAGAACATGGCTTCTTTGGTTATTACCTGTCTGTGTATCGCAGCATGCACTCTTCATACCAGATGATGGCCTCCGTCTGGTTAGGGCAACGCTGTGTGATCCGGGAGGCTGCGGTGGTGACACACTGATGACAACTGCTGATGTTAAGGTCTGCCCGGCAGTTGAAAAGTCCGTTGACGGCGTCGGTGAATCCGAATCCCATAACAGTGTAATATCCCTTGACCTGTGTGGCGTTGGTGACGAGGGAAGAGAGGAGAGCATTGAGATTGCCACCAAATCTGCTATCAGAGGTGTAGGTGCCATTTTCTGTGCAGTGATCAGCAAGATACGTTGGAGCTGCTAAGGTTTTCAAGCTAAGAAAAGCACACAGGTAAACTAGTGTGCACAAGATCGCAAATTTTTTAAAGGTAGCCGCCATTATCTCTGCGGATTACCGGTTTCTGTGTTTTTTCCAGAAACCTGGTTGCCACAGTGAGATTGGGGCGAAGAAGAAGGTCTTGAACAGATTCTTTTTCATGGGGATTGTTTTCTTTTTCAAAGTTTGACCCGGCAATGATTTTTTGAGCTTTTATATTGTCAGGGACCAGGTTGTCATGAGGAAGCATTGTTCAGCCATACGTGATTATCCACTTTAGTATTATTTTTATCCCACATGAGTAGAAAAATGTTGCCAACATTGACTTTCTCTTTTTTGACCAGCAACATTGACTTTCTCTGCCGCAAGTATTGATTAATACTTTCTAATTTTTTATACTTTCACTATTCACGTGAAAATATGTTCTTTCATTAACTTTAAAATTGCATAATTTTTTTAATATCTTCCAAATCTTGTAATTATATGGAGATTTGTATACACTTCAAAAATAACATAAAAAATGCGTAAAATTATAACAAAAGTTAATAAGTATCCCTGAAATGTTTTACATTTTCTTAGATTATATGTGTATATTTTAATTTAAAAAATAAATTTTCTATTTACAGAAAACGTTAAAAAATTAGTATAATTTATTTGTTCTTTTCTCATCTTTCATTGGATTTAGAGGGTTTGAATAATCAATCTCTACGTATGTCAGACCTCATCGTAACTATTTGAGTCAGTTTTAAGTGGCCAATGTATTTATTCACTTTTTTTCCTTTTAATTTTTTTTTCCTGTCAAGAGATGCTTGAGTGGAGTCAAGGTCAAACATAGATGGTAAAAGAAAATTAGGTATTTAAATATTCACGGTTGACAATTAAACGCTTCGTTTTTCCTTTTTTTTTTTTAATGGTTAATCTGGAAAGCTGCTTTTGTTTGACTAACAGTTGAATTTGGAGAAACAGTATAAGAAACAATGGACTACATAAAAATTTGATACTCTGAATAAAACTGATATGCAAATACTCAGCGCAGCAAGAATAATAAATATAATTTGAATTCAACATAAAAATATATTAATAATAACTTTTGTTCAGTAAAAGGATTATTATATTAACATTTTTATTTTTACAATAAGAAAATTTCATTTTTTTAAGTGGTCTTAGACTGTGTTTAACAGTGGAAGAAAGGGTAGTGAAATCAGGCTAATTTCTTAGGTATTTTAAAAGGTCTTAACTCGCAAGAGTTATAGAAAATATGGAAGATTTGATCATGCGTGATTAGACTGTAACCTCTATTTTATTTTTGATTTGTACAAGTAATCACTTTTGTTTGGGATCATGTTCTCATATCCTAAAAGTAATTATTTACATAAGTGGAGATAAATTTCATTACATATTTCATATTTGTAAAGTGAAAAATTGTTTTTTAAAGATTATGCTGTTATTCGAATCTTGTGCCCGCACGACTATTGTTTGTGAATTATGAGGGTTTAATACTGGCGAAAAAACCTGTAGGTAAGCCAGAACCATCTTTCATAAAAGCATCCGTAATCAATCCACAAGCTGGTTAATTGGCTTTGTTTAAAAACTTTGGTCTGCCTTGCATTCTGTCGAGATATATTCAGATATTTTTGAAAATAATATATAATTTATAATCTCTGTTCCTCTTCATTCTACCACTAAAACATTCCATCGAAATGAATGCTGTCTCCATGGTAAAAAGATCCAACCCGAGTCAACGGACCGGTTGGACGACTAGTGAACTAGTCTTCTAGTCTAATTAAAGTTTTGAATGCGTTGATTGGATTGGATTCTATTTTATTTTGTTGAATCGTACCAAACACATTTAATTAGTCTTCTAGTCTAATTAAAGTTTTGAATGCGTTGATTGGATTGGATTCTATTTTATTTTGTTGAATCGTACCAAACACATTTAATTTGTTGAATTATGTGCTTTTACACACACACAGACATATTCTATTTACTTGGATGCATTTTTCTAAATACATTACTTTTTTCAAATTTATACATTCATGTTTTTATTAAATTATACTCCTCCGATCCTTAATATAGAAACTAGTTAGGAAGTTAATATTGGTCATATATATAAGACTTATTTTACATGTTAATCAATTATTTTTCAAATTAATCATATTGATATTTTTCCAATGATAATCAAGTAGGAGAATAAGTGAGGGAATTAAGACAAATGCACACTTAGAGTGTTTTAGAAAAAATAACATAGTAACTAATTTAGCTAATATTTTTAATCTACTCAAATTAGTTAATTAGGTCTTAATAAAGACTAGAGAATTATTTTTTAGATCATGTCTAATTTGATTTAGATTGACCTTGGTTTGATTCATTAACCTTTTTTTTTTTTTCAAACACCAGAGAGCCATTAACCTTTAAACCATTGCTTCTAGTACTTTATACCTGTTGGATTTTAATACTACCTTACTTCTTTTCTTTGTATAAAAACTGCAGATATGATTTGCCTTTCTAATCAAATAAACAATGTATATTAGTCAGATATAGTATTTATAAGTCATGATTATTATATTATTTGGTTTTTTTTATCTTCATACTATATATAAAGAGATGTTTCTCTCTATCTTTTTTTTTTTAATGAAATATAAAGAGATGTTTGCAATTTATTCAATTTTTTCGTGGGAAGAAATAATCAACGTTATCCTTGAAATAACATAATTGATATCAAGTCTCAATCAGCTAGCAATTACTTAAACTTCTGCATATTTTGAGAAAAATTGTTGGGATACTAAATTTACGAATGTATGTTGAAACTATCAAATCAAATTAAAAATAATGGTAAGTAATGGGGATTAGACTTTATAGATAGTCTTCACTTTTTCGTTGATCTTATTTTTACTTTTACATGCAAGCTTTATTCGTAGGCTAATTCAATGGTATTAAGTTTCCACATACGAAATACTACTATTACTCAACAACATCTCTAGCATCGTATTTAACAAGTTATTGTTAGAACAAACTCTGGCCCAACTTACTTCAAGACTCAGTCCAATATAAAGCCCAATTCTAGAATAGTGTATTAGGGCTACGTGTATAGCGCTTTTTTGCTTTCACACATGTATATCACGTGCTCTGTGTCTTTATATACTCTATTGTAATTCATCCTCAATGCAACATTGAATATACCATTCTTTCTATATTGTTTCAGTGCCCGTGCTCTGTTATGGTATCAGAGCAACTGCAGCTTCCCTGCCCTTCTTTCCCTTGATTTTCACATATCGCAGTTCTTCCCTTTTAGAAATCATGTCTAGACCTACAACTCCCTCTGTTAGCTCGGCTTCCTCTCCTTCTTCTCAATCTACCTCTTTATCCCTTCTTTCTTCTCCTACCTTAGGTTCTGCCTCTTCTTCACTTTATTTCTATCAAACTTACTAATGACAACTATACTATATAGAAAGCTCAGATGATCCCCTACCTATACAGACAACAATTGTTCTCCCGCATTAACGGCTCTGCTCCTCCTCCTCCACAAATTCTTGATATAGGAGTCACCAATCTCGAATACACTGCTTGGTTCTCTAGAGACCAATATGTTCTTTCAGTTCTCATTTTTTCCTTGACCGAACCTTTGATCGATCAAGTTAGGGGTAAACAACAAACCCATTACCCGCTAGCCTACCCATGACTTATAAAATTTTTGCCCATTTAAACCTGCCCAATTAGCCCAAATAAGAGATTATAAACAGGCTGGCTTAAATGGGCGGGGGAGCCCATTAAACAGGTTGGGCTATGGGCAAGGTATTGGGCTACCCATACCCACCCGTTTAAGTTTTAATTTTTTTTTAAAACACTTTTATTCTTCATTTAATTGATGATATTGTTTCTCATTCATCTTTTATCAAACATTCATGCTTGTCTAAGTTTTTATTTTATCCTTTAGGTGAAAGTTGGAACTTTCAAAGTTTATGAGATTTTATGATTTGTGACCACTTTTATGATTTTATCAAACTTTGATTGTTTTCAAATCTAGGTGAGGTTGTGTGATTGAATATGTTTGATGTTATTTCATATTTGATTTGCTATTTGGCATGCAAAATTTATTGACAGTTTTATAAGGTTACATATACAAAATAACTATACTTAAAAAAATTTAAAAAAATAAATGGGTTATCTCGTAACCCGATCAGCCAAAACAGGCTGCCCTGTAGCCCATTTAATACGGGCTAAATGGGCTACTACCAGGTTATGGGTTAGCTCATACCCATTTATGAATAAATGGGTGGGCTATAGGCTAACCTTCGGGTTAGCCTACCCTGCCCATTACTCAGCCCAAGGTCAAGTCATTAAAAATAAAACTGCTAGGTCCATGTGGGCTGCATTAGAAACACTGTTTGTACAAAAATCTCAGGCTCAATTACTTCCTCTCCATCGTCAACTCACCTCTCTCAAGAAGGGCTCTGAGTCAATCTCTGAGTATTATGAACGAGCAACACTCTTGGCTGAGTCTCTTAGCATTACAAGACGACCAGTGGATGACTTGGACTTCATCCTAATTTTATTAAATGGTTTAGGGTCTGATTTTGAGTCTATAGTAGCCTCTTTAACTGCCAAGACTCACAAACTATCTCTAGAAGAGGTCCTCAGTTACCTTCTCATTCATGAAGCTCATCTCACCACGATTCATCTTCCTTCGGTAGTTGATATTTTTGCCAATGCAGTGAGTCGATAACCAGCAACCTCAAATCCCTTTTTCCATGGTACTTTTCATGGAAGAGGACGTGCTGGTCGATTTTTTAGAGGGCGTGGCCATACAGCACATGGCAAGGGAAGGACCACTTTCTCATCTTTTTCACCTTTTTCTTCTTCCACCGCACCTTCTGACAACTATTGCTACTTGTGTCATAGACATGGTCATACTATCCTCACCTGTTTCAATCGTTTTAACCATGGCTATCAAGCTCCTCACCACCATCCCTGGCCGAGGTTCATCACTCCTCCCTATCACATGTTCCAGACAGCAACTGGTACTTTGACACTGGAGCTACACACCATATGACCTCTAATCTCTCATAGCTCAACCCGGGAGCAGCTCTATATCATGGATACGACCAAGTTAGCATGAGTGATGGTTCTAATGCATCTATAGCACATACTGGAGCAGGCTTACTTCCCTTGCCTATAGTGTCCAACACTCATGGCATTTTTCTTCTCTCTGATCTCTTGCATATCCCTACCATTTCCAAAATCTTAATTTCTGTTTCTAAATTCTGCTTAGATAACTATGTCTATTTTGGGTTTTACTCTTCTCATTTTGTTTTCAAGGAT